TCATCACAATTTTGTTTGTGTTCAGGCCATCCATGTTCTATGTAAAAACGTACTTGCTTTAGTGCGGCATCCCTTTCTGTAGCATATTTATGTCTATTTACTACATCGTCATTAGCAAAAACTGCAAGGGAGTAAACTACCTCAGCTCCGTTGTCCAGATAACTTGTGTTTAAATGTTCATCTATTGGAGCTCTCGACAGGGAGTCTGCAATGAACATTTTTTTCCCCGGTACGTGAACTAATTTAAAATTGTATCTCATCAGTTCCATCATCATTCTCTGAAGCCGTGGTGATAGACTTGCTATAGGTTTGTTTATAAGACCAAGTAGAGGTTTGTGATCTGTCTCTATTGTGAAGTCTGTTCCATATAGGTAATAGTGGAACTTTTTACAACCATTTACTACTGCCAGAAGCTCTTTTTCAATCTGGCTGTACCTTTGCTGAGTTGCTGTTAAAGCTGAAGAGCTGTAGCCGATAGGATGGTCATTTTGAAAAACCACGGCCCCGAGGCCAAATTTGCTAGCATCTACAGACAAAGTAGACTTCTTTCTTCCATCAAAATAGGCCAAAACAGGAACCTTTGTTATCTCCTCCTTTAATGCTTCAAAACATTTTTGTTCTATACTTGTCCATATAAAAGACTTGTTTTTGCTCATCAGTAATCGTAGTGGTCCTGTTTTATCAGATAGATTATCAATGAACCTTCCTACATATGTAATCATTCCCAAAAATCTTTGGAGGTCATTTTTATCCCTAGGGCTCGGGTAGTCCTGAATAGCCTTCAGTTTGCATTCGGTTATTGAAATACCTTGTGGAGTAAGTTTGTGACCTAGATATTGGACACTTTCACGGCCAATCTGGCTTTTTTCTTTAGACAGCTTAAGTCCAAAATATCTTGCCTTTTCTAAGAAAGCAGCAAGTCTTTCATCATGTTCTTCTTTTGAGTTACCAAACACTAGGACGTCATCTATGTATGCACTCACTCCCTCCAATCCACAGGTTACATGGTCCATTGCTTTTTGGAAAATCTCTGGGGAACTATTCAATCCGAAAGGTAGTCTACAATAACTAAATCGGCCAAAAGGAGTAGCAATGGTGCATAACCGAGAACTATTCTCTGATAACGGTATCTGTAGAAATGCTGAAGAAGCATCCAGTACACTGAAGTATCTTGCACCATCCAACTGTGAGAAAATTTCTTGGAGCGTCGCCATTTTGTAGTGTTCCCTTTTAATATACTTATTAAGAGTTCTTGGATCAATACAAATTCTAACTTTACCATTTGGCTTCTTTGCTATTACAATCGGATGTACCCAATCAGTAGGTTCGCTTACCTCTCTTAAAATACCGTCTTTGACCATTTTATTTATCTCTTCCCTAACTGTATCATTTAAAGCTTTAGGGATAGCTCTGGCAGGAATAACTTTAGGAACTGCGGTATCTTCAAGTTTTATATCATAAACGAATGGTAATTTTCCTAGCTCATCACCAAATACATCATAAAATCTATCGTACACACTTTCACTTGGTTTAGTTATTTCATTTACTCTAGAAATGAGATTCAGTTCTTGGCATGTTTTAAGCCCTAATATGGGACAGGCATCTTCATTCACAATGTAGAATTCTGCTAAAAAATTTCTTTTAGAACCCCCCAGTGTACAATTTAGAAGGCAAGTACCTACAACTTTGATGTCATGCCCACTATAAGACTTGAGGCGTTTATCTGGAGTCGTCATGTTAGCGTCAGGAGCTATTTGTTGATAAAGCTTGTAAGGAATAACATTGACGTCGGCGCCAGTATCGAGCTTAAAAGATATGTCAACCCCATTTACGGTAATATTCTGACACCAACTATGTTTTGAGTCTACAGTGTTGACAACAATAGTTTCAATACTTAAGTCCTGACTCTCGCCACTAATTCCCATTTCATTAGGTTCAATGTCCTCATTAGATTCAATGTTATGAATGTTTTGGGCCTTACAGGCGTTTGCAAAATGATTAAATTTCTTGCATTTTATACATTTCTTTCCCCAAGCAGGACAATTTCTGTAATTGTGAGTTTTTAAACATTTAGAGCAGACTTTAACTTGTCTTTTATTTGTAATGTTACTCGAATTTGGTAAAGTAATGTTATGAATTTTAGATCCTACATTAGTTGTTTCGTCAAGTTGTGAATCAAGTTTCATTAGTTGCACTTGTTTTTTACTCTCCTCCCTAGCCGTGCAGTAGTGAATTGCTTTATCAAGTTTCAAATCACTCGTCATCAACAACCTTTCTTTACACGCTTCATCTTTAGTCCCTATTATCAATAGATCTCTTACAAGGCTTTCTTCCTGATCCCCGAACTGGCATTTTTTTGCCTGATTTTTTAGACTAATTACAAATGACTGAACTGATTCGTCGGACTTTTGCCTGAGGTTAAAGAAAGTATACCTATTAATAACAGTGTTTACTTTAGGCTCAAAGTATTCGTCAAAACATTTAATTACAGTGTCTAAATTGTCTTTTTCCCCATCATCCAATTCAAAGGTGTTGAAAATGTCTAGGCAACCATCCCCCATTAAACATAGCAGTAAAGCAACTTTGATTTTCCCCGACTTTTTAGATTTTTCAGTTGCTTCCAGGTACAACAGAAATTTTTGCTTGAACTTAGTCCATTCATTTAATGTGTTGCTATTTAAATCAATAGTTGACGGAGGTTTTAAAAGGTCCATTATTCTATTTAAGTTTGTATATTACCTTTACCGCTGCCACCAATGATAAAGCTTCATAAATTATATTTTATTTATTGGTACTGAACACTGGTTTTTAATAGAACTCACCATGAAAACTCCAAAACTAACATAAACACAACAAACAATAATAATAATAAATATTACATCATCTGATTTAAGACAGAATAAATGTCACATGTCACAGTAACCGCAGCACAGCTGACAGTATATTTGATTCTTTTTATCTTTGATATCACACATAGACAGAAAGCTATATATCTCGTGCCACAAACGTCCACGACATCGATTAGTTCATTTCTCACACTATCGGCGTCGCGGTGCCTCGCACAGACTGAAGAGGCACATACGAATGTCAAACAACAATAGTGTCAGTCTCCCAATCACAACAAAGGACCATTGTCAGCCTATCTTCCGTCTCCTCAAGGTTCCATTTCTTAATATCGCCCCTCTCTTTTGTCGCAACAAAACAATCGTTTTGATCGCGAACATTCTTTGAATGGGACGTTGTAGAAGACTATGAGAAATTGGCAAAAAAAAGTATGATGCAGAAAGTAATTGTAGCTTATTTTTAAAGTTTAGTAATACTTTAAAATCCGTATACAACACGGATATCTGAACTTCTATTTGGTACATAAAGTCTTAAATATATAATATTTTAAAAAGAGGTGACGTATTCTATAAGTGTCTATTTAGACGAGAATCTGTTCGTGTATGTAATAAAACATGTATGATATGGTATGCTATAGTTTAGGGTGGACGCAAAATGGAATGAACTATGGTGTTTGATTTTACAAGATGATCATGGACCCACCCACTAATCTATAACTTGGTGATTAATATACTTAAAATCCCAACGACGTCCATTTTTGAGGTGCTTGGATGAATTATAAGTAATGAACGTTATATAAATAAGTAATAAGTAGAAGATCTAAACGTAATATATCAAACAGAGATTGTGAGATGATTGTAAAAAGAACCGTGAAGTAAAATTAATCCAAGGGAAGGAATTATTTTCTTTATGTGATTCGAATTATCCATTACTACGAAATAAATGACTCCGAGAAGGTATTTCTTGAACCACTGGTTCGGAATATTATTTCACAGTTAAGCCTCTGAAATCTTGATCACTCTGCACTGAAATCTATCATGAAGAATTTCCTATGGACTTTTCCATTTGTCTTTACTTGATCTGCTTAACTTTTTCTACTAACAATAATTCTGCAGCATTAATAAAAGTAGTGCATGGTCGAATTACTTCTGTTAATACCAGTTTCTTTACCAAAATATTTTTTCGATGTCAACAGATTAAGAAAAATGATCTTCGCTTTTTCACAGCTTGGTTGTGTGCTGTCTGTGGACCATTGCAGGTGTGTATACTTTGCGTATGTCCAGTCACTGTTACAGTACGGGATTCTTGCGTGGGGGGCTGCGTCTGCCTCTGTCTTGGCTCCTCTTGCTGTTACCCAGAAATCCATAATTAAACACATACTAAAAAAAGACCAAAGATACCCCACCTACCTACTTTTTCAAAATTTTCCAGTCCTTAACATCAGGAAACTATTCCTAAAAACAGTTATAACCTTTTCAAAAAATAATAAAAGCAAAATTTTCTCCGATTCGCTACATTCTTATGACACTAGATCTAGAACACACATAGGCATCTCCGTTCCCAAATTGAACAATAAAGCACAGCTTCTTACCCCTCACTATCTAGCCCACATTATACACACTAATCTCCCCATACAGATAAGAGAATGGGAGGAAGACAGTGTCACGGTTTTCAGCAGAAAGATCGGGCGCTGGCTTCTCGGTCTGAGCGATGATGCTGCCGAAGAGCTCATCAGATCCCAGTACAGGGCATAATGAAAGTCGATGACAATTCTAAAACTAAATTAGGCTAATAATACCAAACTACTTCAGTACTGGCACCCTCATTCAAGTACTTCAAATATTGTTCATGTTCAGTCTTTTTTTTGCCAACAATATGGCAAAAAAAAAAACTTCTTTTTATTTAAGTAATTATTTGTTTATTTTGTTATCTTGTCTGTGAAGTGGTGAGCGACGGAGAAGACTCTCCCCACACGCAGATGTACAGTCTTTGTGGGGATTTTTTTCCTTTGTACTTTGCTTTACAGCCAGGATTGTAATTTTTGTAATTTGTAATTTTGGACATAAATATATTCTTATTCTTAAAAAAAAAAAAAAAAAAAACTTTGGGTATGCAATTTTAAATTCACTGTTTCACTTATGCTTATCTTATCTTACCACAGCTTTGTTGTAATGAAGATCATGATTGTTTTTTCCTACAGGGTCGGCTTCCTGTGGAAAAATAAATATGTTAAAATCAATTCAAATAAACATTAAATAATAAGCACTGTTGAAAATATTTTAAAAACCGCTTTATAAATGTTTAATTTTATAGACATTTTAATGATACATCTCATTATTGTTACAGAAATCAGTTTTGTAGCAAATATTCATACAAAAGTAGAAGTGAAGTTGTAATAGCGTAGGCAAATAAAATACACTGTCGGAAAAAGTGGAGACTAAAATGTCGATTCACACACATCAGTTACGGCAAGTCACAGTAAAACAATATATTCTTTAATGGATTTTCTATTGCGCTATCTACACTCATCCAGCACAGGTCGTCAGTCACTCCATCAGTCAATTTCAGATTTCTTCCCACCGATATTTTTGGAATGTTCAGACCCCTAACGGACGCGTGATGTATTTGTTTGAGGAACAAGATGGAAAATGAAATTTTGATAGAATATTGTGTTTTAATTCAAAATTCTTTACCGTAACATCACCTTAAATAACGTGATGGAAGACTGACTGATACCAACTGACAGACAGTTGACTGAGGAATTGTGGATGCAACTGAGACTGAACAGTGATTGGACTGTGACAGAACGGTGACGACTGATGTGTGTGAAATTACCTTAAGTTGTTCAGGCCAAATACTTTTGAGTATATAAATGACCATGGGAGCAAGTAAGTATTATTGAGCGATTGGTGAGCCACAAGTGCGAACTCTCATAGATTCAGACAAATCGGAGTTCCAATTAGTCCAGATTTATCTCAAAATCCTAGATAAGCAGGTGTTTAGTGACCATCATGGCAGTAATTACTCAACGAGGGGGTGAGTTTTGTTTAAGGTGTAGAAAAAGGAGGATAGCAGCTAGCTTACCTTGAAAGTGTGGGTAGGCCACTCTACTTGTTCTATGGCCTACCCACACTTTCAAGGTAAGCTAGCTGCTATCCTCCTTTTTCTTCAATGAGGGGTGAATCAGTTTAAAGCAGGCAAGATGACAAAATTAAAAATGTCCGTTGCTACATTCTATGTAGCCAGTGAGGATCGAGCTATATGCAGCAAAACTGCTTACAGGTTACACATTTTTGCCTATGGAAATAAGGTTACAGATAAAAGGTTAAAAATATCTGTTGTCACTGTCGAGTGATCCTGTTTTCGAGTTTTTGACCACAGTTTTGAGCCTTCTGGCTCATTTTCAAGCAGAAACCGAGTTGTAAAATAGATTACTCTTCATTGCGGACAATTTTGCAAAGCAAGGAGGTTCCTCTTATAAGGAGTCGTCAAAAACCCATACAATAATAAAACACGGACACAAAAACATTTAATTCACAAAATTTGGCCTAAAAAAAGTAGTATTCGTTTTTTAGGCTATTTTAAAAATATTACATGTTTTTGTGTAGGTACATGTTTTTTATTACCGTACTCAATGCAACCCAGCAATGTAAAAGAATCTATTTTGAAACTTGGTTTCTACTTGAAAATGTGCCAGTAGGGTCAAAACCATGGTCCCATAGTCCAAAAACAACCGGTTCACTTGACATTAACAACAATGTATATTTTTACTGTTTTCGAATGGCCGTAAACAAAATCAGTTCCTATTAATGGTATACAAATTAAAAAGGGTTTAGGCCTATTGCATTTGACATTTTTCAGTCATTCGCCATGTAGGCAAGATGACGTAAGATTACTAAAGTAAGAGTGTAATTTACCGATCTTAAGTACGCAGTCATGGCTTGTTTAAGAGTTTTCGGGTTCTGTTGAACATTGAAGAACATAGCCAGGAAAGAATTCCCCAGCACCAGCCAGGACTCTGGATCGCTAGTGTCCATCTCAACTGCTTGCTTGGCGAGATCCAAACCTGCCAAAAATAAATTTACAATACCAAAGTGATTTAATGCGCATGAAAAATCATAGCCTTCAGAAATTGCTTCTAATTTGGTATAAATTTGTGCAAAGAAATGTCACACAACTGAGTTTCAACTGTTACAATTGAGTCTCTATGATTCTTCGGTAATCTGATCGATAATAATCTTTAATAATCTGATGGTAATCTGTCTTATCCGATTTTCCCCGAGGGTCAATCGAGTATCTAAATTGCATTCTATGACGTTCATCTTAGCGGGTCCTTCAAAACCCCCTTTGCGCCCCCGACTGTACTATAACTCTTTGCTACCCTTTAAGTATCAGGGCTTTAAATATACCCAGAGCCGCTAGAGAAAACATCTTGTTTTATTTATATATACTGCACGGTTAGGAAGCCAGACAACATTAATGAGCCAAAAAGCAAATGGCAATTACAAACTTAACTCAAGTTTAATAGAATTTTATAATTTAATAGACCTGTGTTTAAAATGTGATTAATTATGTTTTAAACTTTTTTTAATCAGTTTTTTTTTATTTACTGTGCAACCTTTTTGGCTATCTAATTTTGGTGCAGCCGGTTTAAGTTGATAATCGTGACAACTGAATTACATGTCCTTATAGTACACTATAAAGAAGGGATGGATGCTGCCTAAAAAATACTATAACCTATCATATCATCGTAAAGGTTCTTAGATTTTTCAACAATGGTTGGAATAACATACTAGTGACTAGAGGAGTTCTTTTTGAATAGAAACTTAACCTAAAGGTTTTTTAGTATGATTTTATTTGTTTATCCGCGCTGATTGCAATTAGCAGCAAATCATTATAGGTTGTTATTCCCCAACCAGAAATGGTTGGGAAGAGCTGGTCTATCGGTCGAGCGCAGGGCTTCAGTCCCCAAATCCCGGGTTTGAATACCACCAATCACCAACGGGATTAAACTATGTGATAATGCCGCCAGAAATAGTATGAACATGGTTCCAGGATAAAGCGTAGTATCCTAGGATGGAAAAGAAAATATTAATTAAGAGTAATAAGTTTGTCTTACCTAGCTCAACGTTCTTCACTTTTTCTTCTCGAGTTGACGTTGCTTCCATTCGTACCAGCATGGACATGTTTCGAAGAGATACGATGTTCTTTTTCTATAATTCAGACAAAATTATGTAAAAGGTTGACTTATCTGTCTTAACAATTAATTTGTAAGTGTAAAAAGTGAAACTAATAGTACCAAACATATCACACGTAATTGAAAATCTAGCAAGTTATAGTCCGTCCATTTGACTATGATACCCAGCGAATTAGGAACCTTCTCGGAACTCGACTCACCCTTCAGACCCTCTCACCAGGCTGGCCGTTGATAACAAGTTTACCTAATAGCCTTGGTCTCTTCATACGTACTTTGTTGAGAGCTCCTTGAAAGCAGTTCTTGGCCTCCTTGATATTGTCTCTTTTCCAGTAGCACTCGCCCAGTTGGTTCCAAGCCTCTACCAACTGAGGGTCAAGTTTGACGGCTTTCGCAAGGGCAGCTTCGGCCTCAGAATTGTGATCAGGACCGACGTCAAGAGTTCGACCGAGCAAATAATAGTACTTGGCTCTGCCTTCAACCTTCAGCGACGTACCTGCAAATAAAACCAGGATTACAAACATAATGATACCACAAAAAGCTAATTGTTTATGATGGAGATAATTAAACTATATGACTTAAATTCAATTTAAAAGTGAGGGTTCTAATTAAGAGTGAATGCAAGCTACTTTAATCTGCCAAGTTCAAGAATTCTCTCACATAATCTAAGAAATAAGACTATAGAAACAACAAAATTAAATGTTAAGGCCTAATTAACATAGAAACACAGAGCAGCATAAGAAAAGAAAAAGCAACACACTAATATTTTATAAACCAGGGCAAGAAGACATAAAAATGCAATATTGAGTTGATTGAGCTGAGTTTACCTTTTCCATATTTAAAACGTCACAAAATTGGTAATCTTGGGAGATTTAAGACTAATAGATATTTAACCACTCAACACAAGTGTCAACTCTTTATAAAGCGTAGACTGAAAAGCGTTCAATTATTTACTATAGAACTATATACTAAAACAATTGTGCTTGCATCATTAGGTTTTGACCATCTAGATTTGAATGAATGAATGAATGAATTATGAATTTATTCCACCACATATATAAAATTACACAACCAAATGTACAAAAGAAAAAAGGGCTTTATGCAAAACTAAACTAATTAACTATATACATGTGTAAAAGGTTGTTCCTATCTAATTAGTCCTGGAATTAGCAGACATAGGCTGTGCCTGTGCGTCTGCTAAGTTGCTATAAAGATTATGAAGTTAAAGTGGTGCAATTTAGTTTTATTATTTTGTATGAGTGAAAAGTATAATTAAACAAATTTCAGCAGTTAAGAAATCCTTATATATAATACGTGAAGGCAATTTCTACAAAACACTACTCCTCCGTTAATAATGGACGGATTTTTACAAACAACGTGTCAAAATAAAGTATTTTTTGTGTAGACGCCCCCTTTCACCAATTCATGTAATAAAAACCCTCGGGCTTTGCCCCACAGGCCATCAAAGTTGGAGTTTCTCCCATAAGATTAACATGGGGGAATCTAAATATTTAATTGGAAACTTTGTCCCCACTAATTTGAGAGAACGGTTGGGCGTAGAAATTGTGTAGGGGTGTCCAAAGAAAGGTCTTGGTCTGTAGATGAGTTATCAAAAGAAAAACTAATCAAAATCCCTTAGGACTCTGTCCCAGAAGCCTTTAAAGATCCCTCCACAGAGTTGTTTACATTTTTGCTATGAGAATAATACTTTTTAATGAAACAGCTGTTCATTTTTAAATTGTATTTCAAACAACACATAGTTACTGAATTCTACCAAATAAGTATTTGCAATGTTATTTTCAGATTTTAAAATTGATTTTCTTCTTTATCATGTCATGTTTTGCAATATAACGTTCCATTACAAAATCAGTGGAAAATCCTTTTATCACAGCAATTCTTAAATTATTTCTTATTGGACTATCTTATATCTATTGTACGGGTTGGTGTGTACCTTTTTCGCCACTTTTGCCGACATTTTATCATATTATTCTACAAATATCAAATATTTATGTAGAAATATCTGCTCTTATTGTGTCTAATAAAATCCAAACTTAGAAACATTGCCTAAAATGGTACCTATCTTGACAAATTATTTGCACCTGCCTATATTACGGACTTTGGCGCACTGAATTAGTAACATTATTGAAAATAACACGACATTTTGGCTGTAAAATATAATACAAAGAGAAAATACTATTTAAGCAGCTACTGTCATGACAGCGAAAGGTCATATTCCTTTTAAACTAGATCACATAATCCTTTGACTGGGACGGGTGGCGTCGTCCTGTAATCCAACTACTAGGAGGTCACGAATTGTGGATATTTATAGGAATGCACTGTGGATGCGATACTCCCTGGTGTGGATTAACGTCCGCACGAGTGAGTAGCCTACTACGACTACCCGCAGTGCTATCCTGTCACTAACAAGACTACAAGATCGCGCCACTCATCCTACACTCATCTCCATTCAAACTTGGCTTAAAATACCTACTATGAATGGTCGCCATAAAAAAACGTATTAAAGGATTAAAGTATTTATAATATACGTTGATTAACAATATGTAAACGTCAATATATACGTAACAGCCATTTTACAGTATTTTTGCTTTTTGGAAATGTTCCATTGCTATGTCATTTGCATTATTTATTGCCAATGAAGCCGCCAAGATCATATGAACTAGGAGGCCCCTAACAGTTCAAGAATAAAAGCCAACTTTACTTCAAGTATTCCACTACACCTAACATTCCGTAGAGAGATTATATTGACAACTTTATGTTCTATTGATAAGGCCGAGACAACTAACTGACATCCCCCATGTCAAGGAATTTCAGCTTTATCAGTAACCCCACAGTCAATTTCTCAAAACTATGCTAGAGGGTTCATTCATTGGCACAGAAGTACGATATGAACTGACGCGACGTGTCGAAGGAAAATCAAACTTACACTGTAACGGATATACCTCCCTTTGAAGTTAGAACGTGTCTTCTCAACAAACAGATATTTTTTCTCAAACACTGATGAAGTCGTGGAAGTGTTTAACTACAAGATCCACCAATACGATTTAAATACTATTTAAAGGTTCTTTCTACCAAAGGAAGAGATACCATATAACATACTAATAATAACTCCGATGAGGTACAGGATAGGAAATATTTTATTCATTGAATGAACAACCAAATTTGGCAACTAACGCAATATTGTTATCGTTTTTACACTTATTACTCTTTGAACAATGTTAAATGCTCAAAATATGTATATTTCACCCAATTCATCGCAGTTAGATGAATTAACGTAAGCCTTGAAAGTAACCGTCGATTTCGACGGGTTTCCCCTGGTATTAATGTAATAAGTGACAGTACTCTACACGAAAAGAACATGCAATAAATATCAATAGAAGCGTCGGAGAGAGAGCGGCTAGCGTGTGCTGTCAATGTCGAGGTCAAAGTCAAGTCAATGGTCAAGTCAAGGGTCGCGGGCCGATCCCGTCGCGCCGGTAAGATGAAGTAATAATAAGATCAGCTTCGTCCGTATTTAAATTAAGTAGGCCTAGCCATTCTTTAACAAGACGTTTAAAAGAGACAATAGATGTGGCTTCAAATAAATTTAATTCAGAATAGTATTTACAAAAATTTTGAAAAACTATTTGAGATATATAAAAAGAATTTGTTGTTGAAAAAGTGTTGTATACCTGAAGTGTAGTAATGAGTGTGGAAGTGTAGTAATTGTATCTGCAATGTGACTGGTTTATTCTGATTCAAATGAGAAGGCCAGAATCAAGGTAGGTTACTTACAATCAAAATCTTGAAGATGTTTAAGGGTTTCTTGCATCTTCTCATTCAATCTTTTTTCTCTTAGAATCGCTTCTTCAATTCTATGATGATCAAAATAATGGTCTCTGTACTCATACAGCTTCTTCACATATTCCTTTAAACAAAAGTTAAGAAGAGATAGAAAACATTCAAACATAACTTACGTGTAAGATTTAACTGACTCACTGACTGGTTTAGTTAAGACAACAAAAAAAACTGCAAATGCAATCGAATATTTAACTTATTACCGTATATTACATATGTACATCAAAGGAACCTTTTCCTAAACCTGAGGACGAGGAATAAACAACGGTACCATTCCAAAAATGCAAGCATTTTTGAAATCGTAACCTCGTTGTTCAAGCCGATGTTCCTATAGTGATAAAATGTTGTAGATCTTACATTAATAAACAACCCGGCCAACTATAACCTATACTTTACCTTACTAATCTAACCTAACTTCAAAACACTTAATGCAGCCACGAACCCGCATAATCCCCGTCTCCCCTTACCCACATGCCTAAATAAAGTATTTCCGAGGTTATTTTACATAGTCTACATTTAGTTGTATGATGAGAATTATTACTCTTTGTCTTGCTGACTCATAACCAGTGGCCAATAGCGAAGCGTCAACAACCCAAGTGACGTGGCATTGGCCAATAGCGACGCGACAACAAACCTAGTGACGTGGCATTGCCACATCGACATCTGTTTAGGTTGGTAATAGCCATTTATCCCTAATATGTGCATAAAATCCCTGAAATGAGTAATTTTGATTTTTATCCCGTTTTAGGTATTTTATCCCGCATAATTTTAAAAAATCCCATATTTGTTGTACAAATTACCCATCTTCCCATGAAATTACCCTTTTGTCTCGATTTTTAAGCGACTTTTTCCCCACACCCAAAACCCCGAATTCCCACTCTGTCCCCTAGAGAGTAGGAATTATTGCTGAAAAAAATCACCCTGTTGTCTCGATGTTTTAGCAAGTTAAATAATTAGCCTGTTGTCTCGATGTTTTAGCGAGTTAAATTAGCCAGTTGTCTCGATGTTTAAGCGAGTTTTCTCCCCACCCAAAACCCCGAATTCCCACTCTCTCCCCTAGCGAGTAGGAATTATTGCTGGTAGCCTATAAAACCGATTGTAGTTATTAAAGTAAGCCTCAGCGACAAAAAAGTTATTTTTGCGAATTGTAGTATTGATGTCAAAGAACAGTTCAAGAACTTTTTTAAGTGCGTTTTAGGTGAGTTGTGGAAACTGAACAATAACCACAGTGACTGCCGGACGCCTAATCCAAGTCCGGTTACCAGACGTGTATCCTCATCCTCTGCGTTAATTTAAATGTTGCTCCTGATCATGTTTTTAATCTTATTTGTAGGAATACCAAAGAAAATAATTAGAGTAAGGGCTGGGACTAATTTAATATGTGTACAGGTTAGGCAAACAGACCTAACTTACCTCTAATGTAGACAAGTCCTGTGATGTGGCTAATTTATTAGGTTCTTCAGCCTTTTGTGGCAACGTATCCATTTTGAGACGATGATTTATAAGGAATACATTGTTGGGAAACTGAGTAAGTAGTTATAACATTCGTTCACTCCACTCTCTACTTCATTATAGGTTAGAAATGATAAGCCTAGTTGGAATCTATAAACCTTCAGATACGTAAGTATATGTACAGAAGGATTAAGTGATGGTAATTTATTGGATTAAATACTATAAAATCTCTCTGTATTCATATTGTAGGGCATAACCGACACCACTTGAATCTTCTTGAATGCAGTTGATTAAATTTACAATATTTAAAAATGTAACATTAACATTAACATATTAATCAAAATCAAAACCAAAACATTGCGATTCCAATTCCGTAATCCGTATTCCGTAAATCCTTCCTTCAATTTAATTCCGTCGTTTCTGTCTGTTACGTAGAATTTTATATATACACGTATTTAGATATCTGTTACTTAGTCACAACCAAAAGCCAATTCGATTGGAATTAGGACAGGATAGGATTTGGTCAATTGAAGCAGAATAAGTTTTGTTTTTCTACAGTCACCCGACAAAGTGGGCTTCCTTGCACAGAATATGGTACAGAAAGCCTTACTTTGGCAGTTTTTACTTTGGTGGATCAGTATCCAACCAAACAACACAAAACAGCGTTCTTTTTTTATGCCGGAAATCCGTGTACGATTTAAAATAAATTGGCAACACTTAAAGCATGCAAAACACGATCAGCTGGTACAGCGTTTCCTATTTCGTTCAATGTTTGGATTTAAAACCTAAAAACATGTTGTACAGTGTTTGAAAGACTAATTATTTATATGATTTATAGTAACTGTAGGAAAAATATAATGTATAACACAAGTGCAAACTGCCTTTTCTGCACTCGAAAAAATTTCCACACTCGCCTACAACAGCTTGCGCGTAAACATTTCTCTCGTCTGCAGCAGAGTGCTATTTCGCCCACTAGTTACACAATAGTTATTTGTGCAACTAGTGAGAAAAGTGAGCAATTGACTCACTCGAGAGAAATCCTTACTCACGAGCCGTAGGCGAGTGAGGAATGGTTTCTCGAGTGAGGCAATTGTACTTTGAACTCGAGTTGCACATTATACTTTTCCTACAGTTACCATAAAACAAATAAATTTGTGAAGAAACATAACCTATTTTTACACAGAAGTGAACTTTTAATATAACATTTAATGTGAAGTGACAAATACAAAACAGTACAACAGCTGACCAGCTGATTTACAGCCAGTGCTTCCAACGTATTTCGCGCGCATACGACGTTGCCTGCATGTTACGCGCTCACTATTTCGTGCCTTCACGTTGCAAACCTGGAGTGAGATAAAGTAATTAGAGTGAGACAATGTTAACATTGTCTCACTGATGAGCGAATTGGCCACTTTGCTTTCTCAAATCAGTGAGAGAACATGTACATTGTTAGGTAACTGTAGGAAAATAACTACTTCCTATTCTAAACATTGAGGAGATAAATCAATTATAACCATTATTGAGTAACAGCTGTTTTGTTTGGAGCAGCTAATCCTAGCGATCCTAGCGGCACCAGACGGAACTAACAAAAATATTGTCTTGAGCTGATCCTGTGCCTTGACGCATTCCCATCCATACAGGTGAAATCTACAAAGGGATGAGTATGTTTTATCTATGGTTTAATCCATACCATCACATTATTTTGTAAATAATTGTATTTGTGGAGTACGAACTGAAGTGAATCCCTTTGCTGCGCGGGCCCCTACGTGCACCAATGTAGTCTATGCTTAAATTTGGTCCAAGGCATAATGTTTATAATACCTCGTATAATTTTACCAAGTTAACTGGATTAATTGGTCCAGTTTTAAAAATAAAATTCTATAAAACTCTTTTCAAAAATAAATAGTTCTTGCCATATTGTAATGCAAGGCAATAATATAAAGAAGAAGAAAAGTAAAACAGATGGAGTAGATGGAGTGCCAGTAAAAATACTTGATAAACTAGGTATGCGATCTCAGACCCGACAAATAGTGGAGAGAAAAAAGTATTTAACAAATTATCTCCTTTCTAGTCACATTATTTTATTTAAAAAATAATAGTTTAAACATCTAACATTTTTATTAAACTTTATATGCTCAATATACTCTGCTTCGTTACACAAGCAACTTTGGATAAACAATGGATCTATTTTAACTTGAAATTATTCAGAACCATCAAAACTGAAGGTGAAACTATGATAAATGAATTGGAGCTGGAGCTCCGGCACCCCACGACCCAGACCAAAGAGACCATAATGAATTAGTCTCTACGCAATGGGAGACGGGTTTTCTTTGTTTATTTACGAGGTATGAAAAGGTAAAGTTACATGGCGTTTTGTTGAGTCTACCATAAAGCCAGCTTGAACAAATTTTTGTTTCTTATTTTTCTTCTGTGAGATTTTTGTTTGTTCTTCTCATTTTAGCGAATTTCCCTATAGGGAAGTAGCTATTACCGTAGGTGGCACGGTAAGACCTAGACCCGGGACCGATTTACTTTTTCATTTTGATGTCCCCAGAGGCCAAAAACACCATTCGTTCAAATTTTTATATATGTATATATATATATATATAGACTTATATATATAGACTTATATATATAGACTTATATATATATATATATATACGTCCGTGAACGCGATAACTTGAGTAATTTTTGTCTGATTTTGATGAAATTTGGTTTAAAGGTGTAAAGCGGGATAAACTTGAATGAGTTCGCGAACCAGCACGATCGGTCCATGGGAACGGGGCTTTACAGGGGGTTTTTATGGGGTAAAAATTGGTTTTTCTCACTTTTGACCCTCAAAACACAAAATTTCCCGATTTCTCTTTAGACCTTTTTAAAGAGCTTAAAAAAACAAATAATTTAGTATATACAAGTATTTTTTTTTATTGTTAATAACGGAGAAAATTAAAAAAAATTTAAATTTAAAATTCCCATGTTATTCTTATGGAGAATATTGTCAAATGTAGTTTGCTTGTTTATGGACATATTTTGATCAAACTTGGCAAATTTATTTATTTTGTACTAAGCTATCAATATTTTACTCAAAAACACACTTTATTAGTTTCCTTGTAGCAGCAAACCTAGGTACTCGTTAAACCTAATGTTATTAAAATATATTTAACTGAAAATCAATTCAGACAAATGGAAATTCGCTTAGTCGGCAGGTTTGCTGCGGCGGGGTATTTTGTTTTGTCTGTGTGTCGTGTCCGTGTGTATGTCATGGCTTTGTTTACATCTACTATTTAATTGGACGAATTAACAATAAATTCTGTTTAACTTATCTGTTTCATTAGGGACAACATTTTTTTCATACATAATCTTGACTGTTGATTGATGTTTTATCCACACTGCACTGACAAGTTTTCTAACAGTTCCAAGTTATTTAAGTCTGTGTGAATCTGCCGGTTTAGGTTAGCTTACCTCAAGCTTACAGTCAAGTAATGACAACCAATCAAAAAAGGACTGTTTACGTTGGTATGTACCTTAATTTAAATTACACTCATACAACAAATGAGAACTCTGGTCCATAGCCGATTAGGGTTCAGTTTCTTAACAGGGCTACGCTAATATCGGTTCAAAATTATCAATTCGATTATAAAACCTCCATTCAATTTTTTATTATCAGGGCTGCACTTTACTTTAGGTCCTACAAAACAACCGAATGAAAATATTGACTATTCGATTGTTTTGTTCGATATATCGTTTGGTTAGGTTAACCTTACCTAACTTGGTTAGGATTGAGGGGCAACCCTCTTTCCGAAGGGTCTGCTTCGGCAGCCGGCGAGCCTGATGACCTTAAGTCATCCGCCCATGATGTGCTAAAGGTTGATGCGTAAGCTTCGGCCTACATCATGGGGCCCGGGTATGTCCTAAAGGATAGGTACCGGGTATGCAGTCAGGGGGCTTCGGCTCTCATGACAACAATAAATGTAATGTAAAAAATGTAATGTAATGTAACCTTACCTAACTAACCAAATGATATGTCGAATAATCGATATATCGATCGATATTTTCATTCAAATGAGTGTAGGACCTAAAGTAAAGTGCAGCCATTATCAGTAAGTTTAGTTGGTTAGTTTTGGTTATAACAGTTTCATCTTATAATTGACCTAGCCTAGTTAAAAAATCAAATGAAGGTTTATTACTGATCGAATCAATATTTTTAATTGATAAGTTACTGTAAACTTAAGTTATTAAGTTAGCATAATCTTAGCCCATTTAAGAAACTGTACCAGCCGATTATTTCCCAGGTTAATTTTGACTATTACTCAATGTTAGGCTAGGCCTAATTGAATTTGTGTAATAGTCCTATAACTTGCATGTCTAACTTATGGCATAGGCCTTGGGCTACACCCACATTCGATAACTTAAACTTAAACTTAAACTTAGTGATGATTTTCATCACTAAATTGTCTAATCTTCTATCCAATGGTTTGCGACGTACCGTACTCAATGTAACAAACTTGATGTAACTTAAACTTAAGAAAACCGTTTTAACTCTATCCAGGCCTACCCTAGTTTGTTACCATCTAACTTAGGGAAGGTAAGATTTGTTGTTTAAATTATTAACCCTAACTTACTTTAGAAATGGCGTTTGGGTGGAGCATATTTGGCGTCAATCCTGTCTCAGTTCTCGTAAGTTAATCATCTCACATTTTTTTGCTAATTCTAACCAGATAATGAATTTAAACTTCCTTGTAAGTATGATGAAGGCCTACGTGTTACTAAACATTTGGCCTAGGATTATTGTATTATTTAGCCTAGCCTATATTATTATTTCCGGTAAGATACTGTTAAGCCTGCTAATATTTTTCTGTAGGTGGATTGGCAGAAGAAGTCGATGAGAAGGTTCTACATGCGGCTTTTATTCCCTTCGGAGATGTAGTCGATGTTCAGATTCCCCTTGATTATGAAACAGAAAAACATAGAGGATTTGCCTTCATCGAGTTTGAAGCAGCTGAAGATGCAGCAGCAGCCATTGACAATATGGTAACTTAAGAATTGAATACCGAAGTCATATTAATAAGTGTTGCTACAATTGTGAGTCACAATAAATGTAGGTAATCATGGATCATTAGACAAACCGGGGGGTCTGGGGGGTTCGGGGGTACCCGCCCGAAAAACTTGTGTAAACTAAGTTGATCCAAAATGGAAGTTTTATACCATTTATTTGTCCTAAGTTAGTGTGACAAATTATTTTACGCAATTTGTAGGCCTATGCACTACTGTATTGCATGCAGTAAAAAATATATATATATGGCCGAGGGGGGGGGGTAGTCGCCCTCTTCGCCCCCCCTCTGGATCCGCCACTGCCCACATTCATGTTGAAGGGCGTTGGGTTCCAAAAAGATGTCTGGCAGGAATTCTGTAGTTATTTATCCCAACGGATTACACCATTTAAAAAAAATAACTATACAGTCTGAACAAGATGGCATTACTGTATGAGTTCAACTCAAAACAAAATGAAATGCTTGGCTACTAAATATAATTAGAACTACATAGGCTAGTGAAAACAAATATGAGACAAGACAGTTAAAAAAAAAAAATAATGTATGGTTCACTAATCTACAGCCTCTTTTCCCAAAAAACAGTTTTCTTTACTCCTTTTATTTACACATCTATTACTTTTCAATCTTAGCAGATTTACCATGTACCTATTTCGTAATACGTTTATAGACTACTTCTTTGTTTATCTCAGAATGACAGTGAATTGTACGGGCGCACTATCAGAGTAAACCTGGCCAAACCACAGAGGATCAAGGAGGGATCTTCACGACCGGTGTGGTCCGAGGATACATGGCTACAGGAACACGCCGGAGAGACGCTGGAGACTGAGGGAGAGAAGAAGATAACCCCTACTACAGAGGTATGTCCTTATTAGACACTACTAGTCCGTTCACAAAATGTTGGTAAACTGTACAACCTTCTTCCTGCAGACTTTAAACGAGTGACAAATCCAAACTTGTCTTGAAACACAAACTGAATGCGTGGTTGACCAAGAATCCAGTGTGCACCATAGAGAGTTTATAAGAAAACTATCATAAAGACTACATCTCTCAAATAAATAAAAGGTTAAAATACCTGATACCTGACTGTGGGTCAGTTAACAGGAATGTTAATTAACATACCTAGTTTTTAACTTTTGCCTATCCAGCCTGTGCACGCGTATCAAAAGTTAATAAAAACTATGTTAATTAACGGTCGACCGGTGTTTATTGTTTTTTGTGTTGTGAACATTTTACGCACCTCTTAAGGGAAGTTTAGTTAATAGTTCTTATACGGATTCGACGATTGCGCTCGCGCCGAAATGTACATAATCCACTAGGACAATACTTTGGACCAAATGTCGACAATCAGGTATTTTAACCTTTTATTTATTTGTCCATCAATTGGTCCGGAAACACCACAGCAAAATACATCTCTCATTTTGCTTTAGAGAAAACTCATAGTGTAACGTACATACAGATTCTATGTATGTATATGTATTAACTGAAACTATTACTATTACTGTTCACACAAAATCCATGTAATATGGAGTTTTGATTTCAGATTTTTTAGGTGGTTAAAGAGGAAGGTTCCCCCCACCTCCTTTTATTAGCTGATGTAGATATCACCTGATAAGCTGTTGGCTGTTGTTTCAAAGTTAAGAGGTAGAGGGAATCAAATTGCTTCCCCTCAAACTGCCTAAATTTTGTGAACGGAGTATCATCTAGATTTTACTACAATGAAACTTCAATATATCAAATCTTTTAATGGAACTGCAAAAATTCAATTTATCAAGCATATTGAGATACTATGGTTCAAAACAATCATAGGTAGGCTAACATTTTACACTCTGCATATTTGTAAATACACTTTAAAAGATTATGACTATTGTCTTAAACATTCCTATGGCGGCCCCCGGATTCTCCCCTACCACTGGGGATTTTCCAGACCCTTGGTTTGAAATAACCCGCCTTTATATTGTCCAGCCAAAGCTTACTGTAACTACTGTAGGAACAAAAAGATTATGTTTTCCCCTTTTTTGCAGGATGAAGATTCAAGCACAAAAAAACACAAGAACCCTCAAGTATACTTTGATATCAGCATTGGCAAGGTGAATGTAGGCAGAGTCATCATCATGCTAAGGTCCGATATTGTACCCAAGACTGCCGAGAACTTCCGATGTTTGTGTACTCACGAGAAGGGCTACGGCTACCAGGGCAGCACCTTCCATAGGATCATACCTAACTTTGTATCCTTTATCGTTAACTTAACTGCCAAGCTGACATATAAAAAAGTTAGTGTGTACCTAAACAACTAAAACAGCTTGTACCTAACATAGTATATCCAACCAGTAAACCACCGTTTACCTAATAATAAGTTTGTGTTTAATAAGTTGCATTAAAAAATTAATTCATACATTACTGCTAACTTTGCATGCTTAATAGCCCACTTTTATTCTACAACTCTAAACACAGAGTTTATAATACTAGTGCACCTGTTACTCGAATTTGAGCAATTTTAAAGTATTACAGGCGTTATTTCAAAACAGATAGCAGTCATAATTCTGATGACTTGTCTGATTCAACTCAAAGGTAATTTTGTAATTGATTACTCCACTCCAGTTATCGAAACTGAAAACAAACTGACTCTGAAAATGAACGCTCTTTTGTGTATCATGTGTATATTATGAACAGCTGATTTAGTATGCAATGCAAGTAATGAAAATTATTCGTCTGTTTAAGTAAACCAAATCTTTTCTTCCTAAGAAATACATTGCGATTTCTTCCTAAGAAATACATTGCGATTTTGATGGCCTGTGGGGCAAAGCCCAAGGACTTTTGTTACAGGAATTGGTAAAAGGGGGTGTCTACAAACAAAAAATAGTTAATTTTGTCACATCGTTTGTAAAAGTCTGTCCATCAAATTAACGGAGGAGTAGTGTTTTGTGTTTCGTAGAAATCGCTTTCACGTACTATATATAAGGATATTTTTGTAATTTTTACTTAATTTAACAGTGATATGCCCATACGAATTTAAATGATGAAAGCAAATAAGTAACACCATAACCAACCAATGAACTAACACCTAATTCTCACCACCTAATCGTAAAGTTAATCCATCCATAGCCACTACTTTAGCATGTCAATTGATTCAATTATAAAACCCTAACTATCACGTTTTACAATAATATTTTTGTACCTTAGTTCAGTGATGTTACTTTTCAAAATCATTCATAAACTTGCTACTGTTTTTAAAACAAGACAATATATTTGTTAGAAAAGAAATAGCAATTAAAGCAAATTAAAGCAATCGTATTGGTTACTGTTCGAAGATAGCCAACAGTAATACAATTTGAATCAGCAAAATTGTTATAAAGCTCAATCAGTAGCAAACTGGTTCCAGGCTCTTCGCTTCTGTTTCAGTTGTAAAGAGTCCTTGGAGGCTAGCGGCCATCTTTGATGAATTTAAACAGCTGCTGAAGGCTTATTTACTGTCCAAAATTTTTTTTTAGTACCGTACCAAAGTGATTAAAATGTATTATCTAGTAATCTGTGAGATTATAAATTTTCTTTGTAGTTTTTTAATTGTTTTACGAGTTAGAACATTGAAAATAACTATCTTTACTGCCGATCCTTGACTTGAACCTTAGATGTGTCAAGGAGGGGATTTCACCAATCACAATGGCACTGGTGGAAGATCAATCTACGGCAAGAAGTTTGACGATGAGAACTTCACGCTGAAACACACAGGGCCGGGCATCCTGTCCATGGCTAACTCCGGTCCCAATACCAACGGGTCTCAGTTCTTCCTGTGTACTGCCCGCACTGAATGGTGAGTGAAGCATTTTGCTATGTAGAATTATTATCACGTAAAAAATAATCAGTACGGTTATGCCTGTGACTTTGGATACAGACTTTCTGTGCAAAATAATTACTGTAGGTAGAACTAGAACAATCTGAACTCAAATTATTCTAATCCATTACAGAAAAGATTTGAAAAAAGTTAAAACCACAGTAATTAGATTAGATAGTTATTTTCATTTGTATGGTTTAAATTAGTAGGCCCTAATCTCAAATTCCGTAGCTTTAAAATGTTTTTATAACTCTTCTTGAATTTAAGTTATTTTTTGTCTTGTTAGGTGGTTTTTAACCCATTGGCCTACTTCGACGGTCGCTAACCGCCGTGACGCCGCGGTCCCTAGTAATACAATGACGAGTAGCGACCGCGCACCAAGTAGTTGTCCGTTTCAATGCTAGATAGCAGCACTAATCAGGCAAACTGCTTTACCACGGCCTGTTTTTAGTTGAAATGAATTAGTATTTCAGTTTTCGGGTTGGTAGGCCTGTTTTTAGTGCGAGTAAATATTGATTTCTTGGCAACCTGTTGCTCTCAGCTTTCTGCTGTGTTTGTTTACAGAATGGCGGGTCGGGATTGTTTACGTTCGAGTGAAATAGATCGTTTTATTGATGATGATAGTTATTTGTTGAGTGAAATTGATAGTGAAACGAATGAAGATATCAATGAACGAATGTTTGAAAGTGAGAATGAAAGTGAGAACGATAGTGAGACGGAATCTGACGAAAACGAAGAGGCTGTTGACGAACCTGACGATCTACCGGTGGATTTGGTTCTTGAAACCATTGAAAATGTTGTTCGTGGAGATGGCAATATACCAATGGACTCTATTGAGGAAATTATTGAAAAGGTGGTAAGTGGAGAAATTGGTTTTTTAGAGGAGCCTATGGCGTGGGAAGATGCTCCCAATGAGCCAAAAAATATTGTATTTTACGGTGACAAAGTAGGAGTAAATATTGCACAATCGCAGCTCCTAGATTCCGAATTAGATGTTTTTTCTGAGTATCTAGGCGATGATTTCTTTGAGCGGATTGCCATAGAGACAAATAATTATGCTGCAAAATGTTTTGCAGATCCAAACCGGAAAAAACTAAAAGATGATTCTAATTGGTTTGACTGTGAGACTGATGAAATAAAGGCATTTTTTTCCTTATTTATTCTAATGAGTGTGGTAAAAAAGCCAACTTTGCAGTCTTATTGGAGCAAAAGGAAAGTAATTGAAACTCAGATATTTTCTGAAATAATGCCGTTTCGAAGATTTCAAATGATCATGCGTTTTATTCATTTTTCAAATGAAGCAACTAGTCGGCCTACTGATAAACTGAAAAAAATCAGACCTGTAATTGACTACATGTCAAACAAGTTTTTACAAAACTACACCCCGGACAGAGATATCTCTGTAGACGAGAGTTTGATGAAATTCAGAGGCAGACTCTCTTACATACAATTCAACAGAAGTAAGAGGGCTAGGTTTGGTATAAAAATTTACAAACTATGTGAGTCATCAACAGGCTATTGCTCTGCCTTTGAAATTTATACGGGCAAAAAGAGTCTTCCCAAGGGTCAACTAGTTAGTGAACAGATAGTTTTGCAACTCACAGAGCCGTTTTTAGATAAAGGCTACATAATGCATATCGATAATTGGTATTCATCACCAAGATTGTTTGTGAACCTGCTTGAACGGAACACATACGCAATTGGTACCGTGAGACCCAATAGAAAGAATATGCCAGGTGATATGAAGGAGCCCTTGGAAAAAGGAGAAGCACAGCGTAGAAGTGCGGAAGGTCTCCTTGTGGTTAGGTGGATGGACCGGAAGGCTGTGAACACGATTAGCTCCAAACATTCTGACATCGACTTTACGTCAACAGGGAAAATGTCAAGGCCTACAAGGGACAAACCTGCTACTACAATCATGAAACCTAAGCAGATTATTGAATACAATCAGGGCATGCTTGCAGTTGACCGCCAGGACCAAGTATTGTCTTACAACCCAGTGATGAGAAGGTATGTGAAGGGTTATGTGAAGATTTTTTTCTACCTTTTTGAGGTTTCTATGTTCAACTCTTTTGTAGTTTACAAAAAGCTATCTGGCAAAAGTAAGCAGCACTTCTCTGAGTACAAAACAAATCTGGCTGAACAAATCACTCAATCAATCCGGCTACGACCGAGGACATCACCTGGAAGACCATCGACAAGTAACCCAATGCGACTCCAGGGACGACTTCATTTCCCAATGACCATACCAGCTACACCTTCCAAACCGATGCCAACTAAAAGGTGCCTTGTATGTTCCTCAAAAGGGCTCAGAAGAGAAGTGAGGATCCAGTGCAGCAAGTGTGTGGTGCCGCTTCACATCGACGGCTGCTTTGAGGCATACCACACCTTAGTGAACTACTAAGAGTTGAGGGACAAGTGTAAATAGTGTATATAGTGTAGTTGTAAAAAGCAATCATGCCCAGTCAAAAGAAATTTAGTTAGGTATATTGTTTGTGAAGTGTGAAGAGACCTAACTTACATGAAATTTATGAAGTGAAGGCCTACATATTGGATAATATTATAAAGGTACGTGTTTTCCATTTATTATTTTTATTATATTTATTATTTTACCAGGCCCGCATTTAGCCTATTATTATAAGTATCCTTATTTTGAAATGGTAAACTTCTAAGGTGATCTTTTCTATGTGGTGTCTAGGTAGGCCTAACCGAAGCCTAAGTTACAGACTGCGCTAAGTCCATAACGTCTTGTTACTATTTAATTTTTTGAGGACTTATTTATCTTATGTAAAATTATAACAAAACAAATTCTTATTTGTAACTAAATACTAAATGATAAAAAAATAAAAAAAAATAAAAAAAAATAAATTGATGATTTAATTACTAATTAATTAATTAATTAATTAATTAATTATAATTAAATTTTTAAAATTTTTTTTAAAAAAATCTAATTTTTATATTTTGATATTAGCTTGACATGTTTCCAAAGTTTGAAAGAATTCTGATGCAAAATAAGAGAGATATAAGTGTTAATGCAAAAGCCTGCAAAATCCTAGAAATTAATAGGATTTCCAAGGGTTCAACAGGGCCTATAATATGCGTAGGCCAATGGGTTAATGTCCTAGTCGGTCTAAATAATTAATCATGTTGCAAATTTTGTCCTGAAAATTTTTTATTTTGAGCTTGGAAAACCTGGAATTGTCCTTGAATTTCATTTTGATGGGACGCTGGACACCCTGTTCTGATTGATAAGTCCCACTTTTACTGCTTCTTCTGTTTTTCCTAATATTTCTAGGTCCTCTCTATTTTATCCAAATAGGGCTGTGTCACCAAAAGCCAACATACTTATTTTGGAATTAATTGTTAGTTGTTGTTAGTGTTGTTGTAATTAACTAACGACTGTTTTATCTTCTCTAATGCATCCTCAATGACCATCCTTGAATTAAATAAAATTTGAGAAATACCATCAGCCTGACCTACTCAGAAGACGGAAGCTATCAATCAGATCTATATCTTAGTTTCAATTGAACATTTTGTCCAAAAGTATAGTCTATAACGTATTTAACTTCTTTTCTATTTTGTTAATTTCTCTTCTTTTCTTTGCATAGCCTTTGCCTTATTTTTGTAAGCAATAAAAAAATCATCTGAAGCACATTTAACGCCTCTTTAGCTCATAACGTGTACTGCTTCTGTGTCTTTTATCAATCAAAATGTGATCAATTTGATTTATAGTCTTTCCCATGTTTCTTTATGGATGTTTTCCTAAGGAATGAGGTGCTTGCAATTGTAAATCTTGTGGCACTTGCAATGCTAAAGAGCTTAGTTCCGATTGTCGTTACTATGCAAACTCTCTCTTCCACAATAGTCCTTCCATAAATATCCTCTACCAACTTTGGCATTAGCATCTCCTAGTATAATTTTTACATCATAGTTAGGACTTTGACTAACTGTCGTAATTGGGCATACAATTAATCCTTCTCCTCATAACTCTTATCCTCCATTGAATCATAAATGTTTATCACAGATAGGTTTTTAAAATTTCCTTTTAATCTTACATAACACAGCCTTTTAATCACAGCCTCAAATTTGACATTGTTATTGATGGCAAATCCCACTCCTGCTTGATGTATTCCATCATCTTTAAATGGCCACATAATTTCTTGCAGGGCTACCACATCCATTTTGTACTTATCCAGTTCCCTGCTTACAATATCCACAGTTCCTGGCACCCCCAGAGAGCGAACGGTCCAACTTCAAATCTCAAGTCCTCATGATGCATCTACAGTCGTTGTCCGATGTGTTCCATGCAGTCCGAGGCATTCCGTAGGTGATATGTAATCAGGGTTGTTTTACAAGGGAGGGTGGTTAGCCCATCGCCTCAACCCCCAATATCAATGGAGGACCTACTTCTGGTCAGCCGGGAGATCTGACAAGCAGATCCACCGACCTTTCCCCTATCCGCCACCCAGGGGACGCTCCGTATACGCTGAAGTAGGAAAGCGCACGGATACTTTATTATAAGATACATAAAATACTAAAACAAGGTATAAAAGTTAAAGATACTTAATACTATGGCTTACTTAATACTAAATAGTTAGTTCTAATCTAACTCGTCTTCAGGCCTTGTGCTTGTATTCTTTGCCCACTTGTCATCAATCGGCTTGCAGTGTTGTTGCAGAACTCTTCAGTTTCATCCTCTCTAAGTTTCCCAGAAGTTCAATCCCCTCATCCATAGTTGAATTCATCTCCTTCATTTCATCATGTTCCTCAACAATTTTTCCATGGCAAATCCTTTGGCACTTTACTCCAAACAATCCTTTCAGCTTTGTGGATCCTTTTTGTTTTAATGAAGCAACACAACTCTAGGTCTCCGTGTGGTTCCTCATGAGTTGCTACTTGGTTGCTTACTGTAGTTCCTCTGCTAGTTCTTATGTATCAATAGACAAGAACGGAAGAATTATGCCAAGTTTTTGCTGATGTTTCATTTTCCAGAACTGCTCTGCTTGTTACCCACTGGAATGGAGCAAATAGACTTAATTTTCTTGAATCTGTATTCTTCTTCAAAATAATTATGACAAGGAAGAATTCCATCTTGCATTCATCTTCTGTTTTAGTGAATGAATGAAATAAATAGTTTCTATGGAAACATATATTTAATATGAACATGCCATTGTTCAAGGACCATAGACCTTTAACAATGGATTGATTGTGACTTTCAATTTCTATATAGGTTGAAGCCAAACTTACAATGAAAATGAACATATTTAAATTGAGCCCTCAACAGATAGACTGCTGTCAATTACTGATTTATGTCTTAAGCCGTGTTTACGCCAGGCGAGTTGGCAGGCAGGGTTTTTGCCTCAGGTAACTTGAAATAAATTAGAGGGAAGTAACCTGCTCCTCAACCTACCTGCTCTAACTGGCTTCGTGTAAACACTGCTTTAGGCTGATACCAACCTTTACATAACCAAGCCATGCAGAAATATCTACTTGTAAACCATAAAGACTTTTATTAGTCTAGCAGGCCTACCTAATTGGGTCCACTCTGGCTTAAGAAACCCAAAAATATATTCTTTTATGCCAAGACATCTCTCTTCCCAACTCATTCTTAGTTGAAAAATGAAAATTCTATCAGAGTATGAGATAAAGTGAAATTGTAATTTTGTCTATTAATTTAAAGTATTAAAGTATTAATGTAATTTAATATTTGCTATTTGTCGGTCTGAAATAATTAAAAGCCAATCGCCCGGCAATTGGGTTCGTTCTACGCTGCGCCAGACCGGGATACGCCTGCCATTGATGGGCTGCAGTGAATGTGTTAGTTACGCAAAAAAAAAACATAACACAGGAAAACAAGTTAATGCTTTCTATGCTGTTTTTTTAGTTTGTAAAATATAAACTAATTTGAATGAGCAGTGCTTATTTTTAATAATAGCTTGTATTGCAATTTTTTTTTAACCCTTTACTTCCCATAGTATCCTTTTGGATACATATTATTTCTCATTTTTTTACCTCTCTGTAGATAGAGATTTGAGTCTATACCTCTATGCATTTTGTTTCTAGGCTTATTAGAAAGGGTTTTTAATTTTCCTAGTGTTGGCAAGCCTGTGAAAAGAAGAAAAATATCATTTCAAAGTGATGCAAACCAGGTTTTTGACACATCATGAAATTAAAGATTTTCAAGATAAGATTTTTTATGTTTATAATTAGTTACGAAGCTGGGAAAAATTATATTTCACTTCATTGCACCTTTAGCTACTGAAATATACATAGAATTATAGTTTTCTGTTACTTACTTTTTATATATTTGGTATCAAATTACTGAATCCAAATGGATACTATGGGAACACAGAGTATGCTGACAATATTTAAAGAGTCCTCTGTGTTCCCATAGTATCCTTTTGGATACAGGTTTATTTTTAATAATAGCTATGGCGTGTCGTCTGTGTTCCCATAGTATCCATATGGATACTGTTTTTCTTTTGTATTTTCTTCGATATAAGTCTGTTTTTTTTAAGTCTGCACAATGATAAATATAGGCCTACAAGTGTTGTAATGTTTGTTTCAGTCCGATATTAGAAATCATTAAATATAATAATGATGTGTTTTACAGATGAATGATAATGAAGAAATTGACGAGTGGCTTATGATGCAATCTAGTGATATTGTAATTAAGTTTTTTACATAATATGTATATTTGTACTCATTCTAAATTAATTTGTTTTAATCGTTGAACAAGTAACTTATTTTTCAATTTGATACAACTTTTAAGAAACTTGTATCCATATGGATACTATGGGAGTGTCAAAGTAAAAGTAAATTATTAACGTATGAAAATTAGCGAACAATGGTACTTTAGGTTTCCATGGTGTCCATATGGATACATATTTTTAACTTTTAATTCTATGAGGAAAATTTGAAAACAAACACATTTTTAGCCTTAAAATACAAAAAAAAAAGAAAATTCACAAAAAATATTTTTGTTATTAAATTTCATAATTCTGGGAAGTAAAGGGTTAAAGCAGGGCAATACAAGTTGGAACCTCTCCTGCTTTTAACTCTTACGCTCATAACCTCAATGCTTACAGGTTAGACGGAAAACATGTGGTTTTTGGACACGTTATGAGTGGTCTGGACGTCCTGAAGAAAATGGAGGTAAGTGTTGTAATAAACTTGTTCTTTTAGGGTGTTCTGTCAAAAGAGTTTCTCAGTTTTTTACTGTATGTCCTACTACAACAATGATGTGGAAGGCAAATTTGAATGACTCTAGTGTTTATTTTTCAAAAAAATTACTAACTAGGCACACATGTGGTTTTAAGACATATTGATTAATTTTTGTTATTTCTTCATGTTGTTCTGTTGTTAGTTTGGACAAGGGTCCGGTCCTGAGTGGTCTGAATGAGTGGTTGTTATGACAATATAAATTTAAATAAACAGGATGAATAACAAGGGTACAAAGGCTTATTAACAGGTTTACATGTAAGTAAAACCATATTGGTCATAGCCTATCTTTGTATGGTGAGACCATAAGGTATAATTTTTGTTGTAGAATGGATTGCTTACAAACTTAAAAACTCATTTACACTGTGATGTTGATGAATACCCTGCTTCCCTGATTCTACATCTGCTTTTGAATCATGAATTCACTACAGAGGGAGATGGAGACACTTGCATCATACGCAGAATCACACAAAATATTCAGAATAGAACGCCTATCCAGCAAATAATAGCTGTTTATGTGTGGAAAACAGTTACAGTAAATCCTCTCTCCCATATCCGGACCCTCCGATATCCGGACGCGATTTTGAAAAAATGCAAAAATTTAAAAACACTCTAGGGCGAATGTTTGTTGACCGAGCAGCGGCTGTTTGTAGGCCGGTTAGAGACGCCGGTGCGCCGGGAGGGTTGTGCGATGTGCAGGTGCGCGGGCAAGGTCTCACTGACTCGCGAAACAAAAATAGAATTCTCCCCACTCCTCCTACCCGCCCCTCCTACCCACGCCAACACCCCACTCATGCGTGGCGACGACAACGCATCACTTGTGTCAGTTGTCAGTGCTGCCTTTGTTGTGCCTCTGTGACCTAGTCTTTGTTTGTACGGTTCGTTTTAGTTTCGGGAAGGAAGAGTGCTAGAGGCGAATAAGCTGTTATGGCTGAAAAAAGAAAAAAAGATTGTCATTACGATGGAGGAAAAACGTAACGCGTTGAAACGTTTGCAAGCGGGCGAGAGTGCAAAAAAGATAGCGAGGGAGATGGGAGTGGGGACTAGTACAGTGAGTGACTGGAAAAAATACCGTGAAAAAAGAAAAATGGTGTTCTAACCAGGCATCAAGTTCAGGAATAAAAAAGTGCAAAATGATCAAAACAGATGTGAATAACAAAGGGAACGAAGCGTTATTTTTGTGGTTTACACAATGTAGATCAAAAGGACTGCCCGCGTCTGGACCCATTTTGCAGGAAAAGGCTCTCCAATTTAATAAGGAAATCGAAAGTGATCCCAATTATCCGGATCGGCCGGCGCCACATTAGTCCGGATATGAGAGGGTTTACTGTACTCTGTACTCTTTTTGGAAACTCTTGAATTTTGCAACCAATTTTGATCAAGCTTAATTGAATAATGCTGAATATTAACACAGTAGGTGTTACACCTTAATTGATTGAAAATAATTATTGTATTTCATATTTTTTTGTTACAGAAATGTGGAACTAAATCGGGGCTTCCAACAGAAAAGGTTGTTATATCGTCATGTGGAGAACTTATGTAATATAGGATGATAATTTTTGTATATTATTTATAACTTTAAGTGATTAAAAAAATAACTTTTTATAAAATGCTATTGCCTTATCTTATTACAATTAATATAACACCAGTACAAATATTTTCATTGATTAAATCCGTGCACCAACTCATCTATATGAAGCAGAAGATTCTAGGGGTGGCTGAGTTGCTAAAGCTCAGGCCTGCAAACTTTGAGGCGGGGGTGGTAATTTAGAAATTACTCTTTAGGGCTTACAGTAGAACCCCTCATATATGACGGTGAGGAGTCAAAAGGTAACGATGGTCGGAGAGGCCAAAATGTCGGAAATCGGCAGGAGCATAACTTGCAGTCTCTGTGACATCAGTAATCATCTCCTGTGACTGTGATAACACCCCTGTGCATGTATTGCAGTCTCGGCGACGCCAGGGATCGTCTCACGCTACGGCGGCAACACCCGAGAGCATGTCTCGCAGTCTCGACGACATCTGTAATTGTCTCTCGCACCTGCCGTATCACCAGTGATCGGCGACAGTGATGATGGTCTGCCGCAATTACAGCAACATCCGACATTCGCGTCTTGGTTAAGCAAATGTGCTCGCCGTTAATCACCTGAGACGGGAAGCAGGTAGATGGTCGAACACTGGGCTGGATATCCTGAGAATTTGGCTATGCTAAGGTATGAGGGGTTCTACTGTATTAGTTGATTATTGTTCTACCCTAAATAAGTCTGACCCCATCAATTTCAACACCCGCCTTACCCTGAAGAAGGCTGCACCTACCTTAGGGTTAAACCTTTGACTATTGATACAAGACATTCCCCTGCATGTTACAAGCTTTCGCCTGTTAATTAATCAAAATCGTAGTTTATGTGAGCCACCAACAGATTATGCTGGTGTAAATTACCGATTTCTGTCAAGTACACAAACTTACTAACCTAGTCAAACTGAAGGAACAAATTTTTGTGAGATATAGCAACTGTTGTGACCCATCAACTGTGTCAGTAAAAACAAGTAGAAAATAGAATTGTAGACACTAGTACATTCTGTGAATGTCTCACACAACTAACTATGTTCTTTATTAATATGAAATTGGAGACAGCTGGTCCTTATAGATAGAATGTCTACTTCATCCAATAGTCAATGGTTAAAGTCATCTCTAGAGGTCCACAGTCCCAAAATAGCTCCGAGTCGGATTCATCGGTCAGAGGGAGGCTACAATAATGGGGGGCCACCAGTTGACCGACAAGATACTTGGTCGTTTTGCCACTAGACCGTCTTTTTTAATTAAATAGATAAATACTGAAAACCAGTACGTCGACAAGTTATTTCATCGTCAGTCCAGTTGACCGGCCTGTAAAACTAAATTATTATATACGAGAAACCAACTTGTCGTTAATCGACCCGGCCGACATACCACTTGCTCGTCTTTTAGGTGGGGATGTGTTGAGCAGCAGTGCCAGCGGCGCGCGCAGCTGTGGAGGGTGCTGTAGGCGTACCAACTTCTGTATCTTGTAGCGGCGGTTTTTATTCCGACGATTTCCAGCTATCACAATGCAGCGGACTAGTGAGGTTTTTTATTACGTGTAATTGTTTGTTTCTCAATCGATATTTGTTTATATACAGTACAGTGAATATAAATATGCCTATATTAATTTACTTCAATTAAATACACGTTTTTTAGCTACTACATTTAAATTATTGAAGAATTACATGAAATCTAGAAAACTAGAGTACCGTTCAAATCATTTTCTGTATTTACTGGATTAGTGAGAGTGTCTTTGGCTATAAAAACATGGCTTTGCTTCTTTGAAAACAAAATAACGAACTATCAAGAACACAATTTTGTTCGATTTTTGTCAAATTTTCTTTCAATGTTTACTATTACATTTTATGAAATAACGATCAGCTGTTTGGATTAGTTCCCACTTCTAGCTGTCACTGATATCCTATACTCTAATACGAGCAATGTTTGCTTGTATGTATGCTTGCTTGCTTGCTTGCTTGCAGAAAGATCTCGAAAACGGCTCCGACGATTTTCTTCAAATCTTGTAAATAGTTTATTTTTGGCCTAAAAACAAGTTTCATGCAGTTAGAACTGCCAACAAAAATCTAATTACGTAGAAAAACGAAACTGAAAGTCACATTTTTTTAACATTAGTCTTATGGGTTGCTAAGTAACCATGTTGGTTGAATTAAATAACAAGGAAAAGGTAAACAAAAGACTTGAAGTTGTAGCACGTGTTCATAATAAACCAACTACCCACAGTATACTAGCAAATTACAAATACAGTACAAAAGGAAAAACATCACTTGTTAATATTGAGCAAAGATTATACCAAAGATTGATTATACTTAAGATTACTCGAGACATTGTAGTCAAGGGTAGCAGTGCGAAGTCTAGGATCTGTTTATGACGAATACATTAAGGTATCTGCAATCCTAAAATGCTATGGGAAGGGAAGGAAACAGGTCCGTGACGTAGGAAGTAGTGAAGGAAGTAGTAAAGGCAATCATAAAATGCTATGGGAATAGAGGGAAACAGGTCCGTGACGTAGGAAGTGATGAAGGAAGTAGTAAATGCGAGCAGTCCGGAGTGTGGGGACTGTTTATGACGATAAGATTAGGGTATCTGCAATCCTAAAATGCTATGGGAAGGGAGGGAAACAGGTCCGTGACGTAGGAAGTGGTGAAGGAAGTAGTCAAGGCGAGCTGTCCGGAGTGTGGGAACTGTTTATGACGATTAGATAAGGGTATGGGCTATCCTAAAATGCTATGGGAAGGGAGGGAAACAGGTCCGCGACGTAGGAAGTGGTGACGGAAGTAGTCAAGGCGAGTTGTCCGGAGTGTGGGAACTGTTTATGACGATTAGATTAAGGTATCTGCAATCTTTAAATGCAATGAGAAGGGAGGAAAACAGGTCCGCGACGTAGGATGTGGTGAAGGAAGTAGTCAAGGCGAGCTGTCCGGAGTGTGGGAACTGTTTATGACGATTAGATTAATGTATCTGCAATCTTTAAATGCAATGGGAAGGGAGGGAAACATGTTTGCGACGTAGGAAGTGGTGAAGGAAGTAGTAAAGGCGATTAGTATGGAGTGTGGGAACTGCTTATGACGATTAGATTAACGTATCTGCAATTCTGAAATGCTATGGGAAGGGAGAAAAACAGGTCCGCTACGTTGGAAGTGGTGAAGGAAGTAGTCAAGGCGAGCTGTCTGGAGTGTGGGAACTGTTAATAACGATAAGATTAAGGTATCTACAATCTTAAAGTGCTATGGGAATGGAGGGAAACAGGTCCATGACGTAGGAAATGGTGACGGAAGTAGTCAAGGCGAGTTGTCCGGAGTGTGGGAACTGTTTATGACGATTAGATTAAGGTATCTGCAATTCTGAAATGCTATGGGAAGGGAGAAAAACAGGTCCGCTACGTTGGAAGTGGTGAAGGAAGTAGTCAAGGCGAGCTGTCCGGAGTGTGGGAACTGTTTATGACGATTAGATAAGGGTATGGGCTATCCTAAAATGCTATGGGAAGGGAGGGAAACAGGTCCGCGACGTAGGAAGTGGTGACGGAAGTAGTCAAGGCGAGTTGTCCGGAGTGTGGGAACTGTTTATGACGATTAGATTAAGGTATCTGCAATCTTTAAATGCAATGAGAAGGGAGGAAAACAGGTCCGCGACGTAGGATGTGGTGAAGGAAGTAGTCAAGGCGAGCTGTCCGGAGTGTGGGAACTGTTTATGACGATTAGATTAATGTATCTGCAATCTTTAAATGCAATGGGAAGGGAGGGAAACATGTTTGCGACGTAGGAAGTGGTGAAGGAAGTAGTAAAGGCGATTAGTATGGAGTGTGGGAACTGCTTATGACGATTAGATTAACGTATCTGCAATTCTGAAATGCTATGGGAAGGGAGAAAAACAGGTCCGCTACGTTGGAAGTGGTGAAGGAAGTAGTCAAGGCGAGCTGTCTGGAGTGTGGGAACTGTTAATAACGATAAGATTAAGGTATCTACAATCTTAAAGTGCTATGGGAATGGAGGGAAACAGGTCCATGACGTAGGAAATGGTGTAGGACGTTGTAAAGGCGAGCCGTGTGGAGTTTGGGAACAGATTTATGTATCTCCGATACTAAGACTGCTTTCAGAGTGAACTAATAATTTTCTCCGAGCAAAGCTCGGTCCCCAGGTACTGTTTACATTAAATACTGTTTACAAATACAGTACCGCAACGATTTCCGATCAAGTTTTGTAAGCACATGCAAACTAAGTGAGATTAAAAACGTTGTGCCTTACTTAATCGGTTTAATTAATCGCAAGTGCAACGATTGTACTTGAGTTTTGATAACCAATGAAAAGACCGTGAATCAGTGTTGTATAGTCCTGGGAAACTTATATTTTTTTTTAAATCGTCACCAATAGCTTACAAAAAGGTTTCCACTCATTGACTGCGTTTCAAGGACAGTTGTGTAAAATGCAAAGTATAAAAACACAACTGCAAGGGTGATCGTGGATTTTGCTGTGATCTTTCTGATTTCGCTGTGATCGTAACAGAGGTTTAACTTACAGATGTAGTTAAACTCGCTTTTCCAATGTGTCACTTTAAATTCTTCTTACCTCTTTGTGCTGCAATCGCTGGACCATACCGCAAATCTTGGTCCATAGCCCATCTCTTGGGCAGGCCCTACGTAGGCCGAATTATTCACAACCAAATTTCGACAACGATATCGGTACTTTTAGAATACATAGCCTTCCTACTTAGGAAGTAAACTACAAACGTCCAAAACCCCAGATTTGTGCGTTTTTTGTCACATCTCCTCCGAATGTTTCCTTGATATACCGATCTACGTTAGGTTTAAAGATTACGTAATCTTTTAAATAAGAAACCTTTGGTTGGATAAAGGTGGTTTTTTCAAACTGTCATTAATATGTTAACATTAAAAGTTGCTTACAAATAATGCTATTAATGGGAAATAACTTAGATTTTCGAAAACTTAAAAAAAACCAAGGGAGATTAATAATTTCGGTACTGATACCACATCAAGTGAAAGATTTTTTGAGCAAACCATCATGAAATTTAAAGCTT